CGAATTAAAAAAATTCGATTTGATTCAATTCGACATAAAAATTTAAAATTCAATTTTATTTGTTTTCGAACATATTGTCAAAGATGGTTCGATTCGATTCGTTCTCACAAATACTTGATTCGATCATCTCTAGATTTATTTATTTGTATATATTTTAAAAACTATTATATAAAAAACTAAACATAAATAAATTTTAAACTATTGTTATATGGATGTATAATGAACTAATAATAATGGTAATAATAAATAATTAAATAAACAAAATTAAAAGTATTTACAAAAAATAGAGATTGAAGCTTTACTTTTGATATAATTTGTTAGCATAAATGTACAAATAATCACTCAACTTAATATCTTATGGAGATATTTGAGATAGAATAGAATCAACTAAAGAAGTCAATATGCAAAAACATGTTCGAATTTGTCTATAAGCGCGCGCGCACAGTGTTATATTCATCTCATGTTAATTCCACCCTTAGTGTCTTCTATAAATTAAAGAAAAATATTTCGACTTAACTTAGGAAAAGATAGACAATTAGACCAATTTAGAACAATAATTTATTTGTATATAATTATCTTATTAAAGATTATATATTCTTTTTTGGAACGGTTACTGCTCTTTTCTCCAATATGTAATCTACAGGTTTCAAAAAAAAATTATTTCTTCTCTGCTAGAAATAAATCGCTAAAATCATTGAAAATCGCTGAAATTTATGTCAACTGATCCATTTCAGCATAATTCATACTGAAATAGGTCAATTGATATAGATTTCAGCGATTTTAGCGATTTATTTCCACCAGGGGTGGATTTCTGTTTCCTTTTGGGAAATCAGTAGTATATATCATAGTACGCAATTTTCTTTTTGTATTTTCTAATTATTTATCAATCAAATTGTCATGACCAAAAGCGTGAAATAACTTAGGAAAAGATAGACAATTAGACCAATTTAGAACAATAATTTATTTGTATATAATTATCTTATTAGAGGTTATATATGCCTAATGGACAAGTTACTGTACATACAGTATGATTTCCGAAACAATAACTTATTTCATACAGAACTATTATTTATTATTATATTATATGTCTAATGGACAGGTTATTGCATCTGCTCTTAAATATCGATAATCTTATGCATTAATATAAATTGATGGAATATTTATAATATATATTTTCTGTTATTTGCGTAATATTTACAAATTTTGTTCACGAAGATTATTATCTTATCGAGTTCAGCACCCATTATAATAAATCAATTGTAATTAATCGTCAAGCAATCGTTTCACATATATGGAACACAATCAGAAATTAACAAAACAATACCATAAAACGTTCAATATTAACGTTTAATATTAATATCAATTTTATATATATGTATATATATATATATATATATA